CTCACGGTGCGACGTGGTGGATACCGTGCTCTGGCCTCAGCGAGGCAGGCGCAGAGAAGAGGGGGGGGACAGAGAGAGAGAGGGAGACAGAGGGGGGGGGGGATGAGAAAAGGGAGGAGGGGGGGAGAGGGAGAGAGGGGGGAGGAGAGGAAGGAGGGGGGGAGAGAGAGGGAGAGAGGGAACGAGAGGAAGGATAGGGAGGAGAGGGGTGAGGGATGAGAAGCGGGAAACAGAGACGGATAGAGCAGGCAATCGGTCGGCATCGAGCGCGCGGAAACGAGGGCGGCATGTAAGAACAAACCTTCGCTGAGTGTCCGCGTGGATTTCTTCGGCCGGCGCAGGACGCGCCGCTCCCCTGGCGCACGAAGCCCGCCAGGGGCGGCGCCGGAGGCGCGGGCAGGGAAGGGCTCCGCGCCGACCTCATGAATCCGCGCAAGCCTCAGGACGCGTATGTTTCTGCCGCGTTCCCCTGGTGCGCCACGTGTCTGAAAGCGTGGGCCGCGTACAGTAAGTGATCGCACTATGGGTGCAGCAGCGTTGTGGTGCAAGCTGTGTGGTGAAAGATATACGGCGCAAGCTTTGTGGCGAAAATCAGGGGATGCACGCTATGCGGTGCAAGCTGCGGGGTCGGCTATGTGGTGAAAGCTGCGCAGTGCAAGACACGCGGTGTGAGCTACGTGGTGAAAGCAGTGTGTCGCGAGCTGTGAATTAGTGGAAGCTGTGTGTTGTAAGCTGTGCAGTGACAACTGTGTGGTAAAAAGCTGTGGGGTGCAAGCTGCGTGGTGCAATCGACCTTGCAGAACTTGAAATGGTCAACCCCACTGCTAGCGCAATCGCCCCACACTCCCGCCCACAACTCGTTTTGCACAACCCATGCGGCCGCGATTGCGGTGGCTACTTGGCACTGACTCTGCGTCTGCGCTAGCGCGCACAAGCTCGCGTGCAGAGCAGCCAGCTGGTTTTTGGCACAGACGATGCAGCTGCGAGCGCGCTTACCGACGGAAATCTCCTGGCGCATTTTACAGGCGGCGCTGGCGCGCGGGCACTTCAGCGTGGGTCGGTGATTCGAGCGGGCGCGGTGTTGTGATGACGTCGGACACGGCAACAACGACGACAATAGTAGCGATGGTGGTGGTCATGATGGCGATGACGACGACAAGGCCAATGACGGTGCAAGTGCTGGTGACGACGGTGGCGATGTTGATGTTCATGTGCCGGTGACGAAGGTGCTTGGTGAATGGTCGCGGCGAAGCGCGACGTCGACAACGGGGTTGATGCGACGGCGCTGATGAGGGTGATGGTGAGGAAGTGCGAGCGCAGAAATGCAAGGAGCCAGGCAGACTTTATGTTGAACATCGCATGGTTTACATTCGAGCAGCTATATGTTGAAATGCCGCGAGTTTGAAGAGTTGTATGTTGTCATGCTTCGAATCACCATAGTTTTGGAAGGATTTCGACACGCGCGTGGCGGTGCGTGCATGTGGCCTGTATTGACTGTTTGATACGCACTCGCGCACTGGGCGCATACTGGATCAAGACGGATGTACCGCGTGGTGAGATGATAATGTTTTTTTTTTCTGGACTTGGCGTTAGATTCATAAGGTTTTCTCGTGGTATCAGCAAATGCGCGCAAGGTTTACACGGGGAAAACAAGCAGGTTATTTGATGAATTGATCTTGAAAATGTTTGCAGAATTGGGTTGGTGGTATCATATCGACGTGTGCGAGCGGGTGGATGTAGCGCAATGTGTTTTTGCAATGGATGTTGCATCAATGATCTTTTGAGACAACCGAGTGCGCGCGCATTGTATGAACTGAGCATGATGAAGGATGCTGTCGATACCGGCTGGCCAGGCTGGCATGTGGTATGAGCTTATGTTGAAAATGAAAGATGGGGCACGAACGCATGTAGTACAATCTCAATGTCCCAGGGGGTCCGTCAACCCTGAAGGGAAGGGTGGCAGAACCCTTCCCTTGAAGGGAGGATCGTGCAGCGCGCGGGGCGCCCACGAGGCGCCCACGAGGCGCCCACCCGACGAAACCTCGGCACGCCCACCCAGCGCACGAGGCGCCCACAAGCGGCCACGGGCGAACACAAGGCGAAGCATGCTCACCGTGGGCGCCCACGAGGCGCCCACGGGCGCCCACCGACCGGGCACCAACCGAACCGTACACTCGGCGCGCCTTCCTGGACAAAGGCCAACAATGACCTCGAAATGCAAACACGGTTGGAGGAGTCCGTCATCTCCTAAAGGCAGGTCCAAGCGGTTGCGCCCGCCGCGCTGTCGGATAAAACTTTCCATCGAATCCAAATACCTCTGGACGGCCACGCCAACATCAGGACAACATGGCTCCAACATGATTGGTTACACATCGTCTGTATGCAGAATCAACCACGTCTGCAAGATAGTTCCGCCAGCGTGAACCCCAAACAGTTAGTGAGTGCAACTTGGGATTGCAAGCTATGTGGTGCACGCTGGTTGCGATGCGCGATCAATGCAGCGCTGCAGTCCATGTAGAGAGGACAGTGCGGTGCACACTACGCGTGGTGCAAGCCAAGGGGCGTAGGCTTGGCGGTCTGCGACGTGGGCTTTAAGGTGTGAGCAACACGGCGAAGACAAGCTGCGCGTGCAGCGCAAGCGGCGCAGGGCGCCCCCGCGCCCACGGGGCGCCCACGCGCCCACGGGCCGCCCGTGGCCGCCCACCGACAGACCCAGCCAACGCACAGGGCGGCCGCGAGGCGCCCGCGGACGCGCACAGGGAGAAACCTCGGCGCACCAACCCAACGACTCACCAACGTATGGCCCCCAAGACAGCCCAAGAGGGCGCCCAAACGGTCCAAGAGGCGCCCAAGACGGCCCAAGGAGGGCTTCAAGACGGCCCCAAGAGGTGCCAAAGAGGGGAAACACGAACCGACAATGGAGATTTCCGCCCCAATAGGCCCCCAAGAGGCTCCCAAGAGGCCCCAAGAGGCTTAAAAATGCCCCCATCAGAGACCTCAAAGAGGCCCCAAGATGCCCCAAAACGGCCCCCGGAGGCTTCGAAACATTCCAAAATTGCCTCGCCCCCAGAAGCACTCCAGAGGCCCAACGAAGCCCACTGAAGGCCCCAAAGAAGCCCCTACAGTCCGCAAGCAGCCACGGACGAGCCCCACGAGGCATCAGAATTGCATCGAAAATGTTCTTTGGAAGCTTCGCAAGAGACCCCAACAAGCATCCAATATGCTTCTGACCCACAACACAGGCACGGTGGCGGCTTCACCCGTTGCCCTCCTGTTGATTTGGCCCCAGGACTCACGACGGCCCCAAGAGAAGGGCAAGATGGCCGAGATCAGTTCGAACCACAATGGTCAGAAGGAGGAGGAGGAGGAGGAGGAAGGAGGAGGAGGAGGAGGTGGAGGAGGAGGAGGAGGAGTTAAGAGGTCGAGGAGGTGTACGAGGAGGTGGAAAAGGAGGAAGACGAGGACCGTGGTGCACATCCCATTTTTCAGTTTAACGAACCGAGCCGATCACGTTGGGGTCGCGCCGCGGATTTCGTCTTCGCTTTTCAGTGGGTGTAGGACCCCCCGGGGCACCAGGAACCTACAGGGAGCGTTGCCTGGTGACCCCGGGGGGTCGTGCTTTACCCTTAGGCTGCCCCCCCGAGCCTGGGAACCGAGGCCAGGTGAGGGGGGGTGCTAAGGGGGGCACTCGCTCAAAGCGCTTAGGGCCCCCCCCTCCCCCCACTTAGCATGTTCGACGACAGCTTCGAAACGGCAGGCGTCAGCTGGGCGCGCGACCTGGGGGGCGACATGGGAAGTGCTTTCCGTCTGGGGGGAGGGCGGGCTGCGTTTCGAATCTGGCCCCCCCCCGCCCACTGCGTCTTCGTTTCGAAGGTTCCCCGATTGGGTTTTGTCGCGACGGGCTCACGACCAATGAAGTCCTTACGAGCGCCATTGGTGCCCACGGCGCCATCTACCCCTTCCATGAGGAGCGTGGTTTTGGGCGGCGGGCCATTTTCGCGGCCCGTCGCCCGGCGATGGGGCGGGCCATTTGTGGCCCGTCCTGTCGCCCGCGAGGCGATGGGGCGGGCCATTCGTGGCCCGTCCCGTCGCCCGCGACACCTCTCCTACTTCCAGGGTGTCCCGAGGTGCCCCCCCGGCCGCGAGACGCGGTCAAGGGGGGGTGCCCGGGGGAGCGCTCAAGGTTGAAGCCGTGGTGTCCCGAGGTGCCCCCCCGGCCGCGAGACGCGGTCAAGGGGGGTGCCCAGGGGGGCGCTCAAGGTTGAAGCCGTGGTGTCCCGAGGTGCCCCCCCGGCCGCGAGACGCGGTCAAGGGGGGTGCCCGGGGGGGCGCTCAAGGTTAACCTTGAGCGCCCCCCCGCCCGCGAGACGCGGTCAAGGGGGGGTGCCCGGGGGGGCGCTCAAGGTTGAAGCCGCGGTGTCCCGAGGAAGGCTCCAAGGGGGTCCACAAACAAGACACGCTTGGAGGTTCTCGCGTGACTTGAGGTCGCGCCCTGCTGTAGTCGTTCAAGGCCTTCTTGGCACCCTCCCAGGGCCTCTCCTGGAACCGCCCTCCTTCTCATCTCCCCTTCCCTCCGAAAAGTCTCCCAGTGGGTCATGCCATCCGGCGCATTCGTTCCTGGCACAAGCGAACGCTGGGGCATCGGTTCCATTCTTTATCTTCCCCCCTCTCTCTCGCCCCCCTCCCCTCAGTCTCTCCTTGCCCGCTCCCCCATACATATGGCCTCCCTTGATCGAGTAATCATATTGTACAGCGTGAGCTCCACAGTGAGATGGGCCGCAAACACCCAACGAAACCCTGGACTAACCCCTGGCGGCGCCCAAGAGACCCTTCTCTGCTGGGGCCAGGCTCATGTTGATTTTTCAAACCATGCTGCCATTCGTCGGTACGTGCATTCGTGCAGCCGTGACTTTGTCAATGCGCGCAGCCGTGGTATTGTCAAGCGCCTGCGCTTGCTAGAACCAAAGCGCGCGAAGCGCGCGCGTGGTTCTAGTCCGTTTATATATAATAGTATATAATTACCCTGTGACGTACCCAACCCATTTATATCATGGGAAATGAGGAGTTGGCCGAAACTTGCACGGACAATCAAATTGCAGGATCCGTTGTTTGATATGTAAGCTACTTGGGACACGCGCCAATGGCATGATGCGCAGGAGAACCATACGAGAACGAGGGGCGACAACTACAGGCTCGAAAAGGACATGGGGAGTCGGGAACGAAGAGCAGGAGAAAGACGTGCGGGAAGCCCACTGTGCTGTGCCCCTCAGCAGCCCTCGAAAGTGGCGACAGTTTCACAGATCGCAGCCCCCCAGGGATGGAGAGGTCTAATCTGAGTTTGCGGTGAGTGCCCACTGTGCTGGGCCCCCCAGCAGCCCTCGAAAGTGGCGACAGTTTCACAGATCGCAGCCCCCCCAATGATGGCGAGGTCCCATTTGAGTCTGCGGTGAGTACCCACTGTGCTGGGCCCCCAGCAGCCCTCGAAAGTGGCGACAGTTTCACAGATCGCAGCCCCCCCAATGATGGCGAGGTCCCATTTGAGTCTGCGGTGAGTACCCACTGTGATGGGCCCCTCAGCAGCCCTCGAAAGTGGCGACAGTTTCACAGATCGCAGCCCCCCAGGGATGGCGAGGTCCCATTTGAATCCGCCGTGGGTGCCCACAGTGCTGGGCCCCCCAGCAGCCCTCGAAAGTGGCGACAGTTTCACAGATCGCAGCCCCCCAGGGATGGCGAGGTCTCATTTGAGTCTGCGGTGAGTACCCACTGTGCTGGGCCCCTCAGCAGCCCTCGAAAGTAGCGACAGTTTCACAGATCGCAGCCCCCAGCAGCCCTCGAAACGCAGCGACGAGCGAGGTAAGAAAGTGGCGACAGTTTCACAGATCGCAGCCCCCCAGGGATGGCGAGGTCTAACTTGAACCCGCCGTGGGTACCCACTGCGCTGGGCCCCCCAGCAGGCCTCAAACGTGGCGACAGTTTCACAGATCGCAGCCCCCCAGGGATGGCGAGGTCCCATTTGAATCCGCCGTGGGTGCCCACAGTGCTGGGCCCCCCAGCAGCCCTCGAAAGTGGCGACGGTTTCACAGATCGCAGCCCCCCAGGGATGGAGAGGTCTAACTTGAACCCGCCGTGGGTACCCACTGCGCTGGGCCTCTCAGCACGCCTCGAAAGTGGCGACAGTTTCGCAGATCGCAGCCCCCCAGGGATGGCGAAGTCTCATTTGGATCCGCCGCGGGTGCACACTGCGCTGGGCCCCCCAGCAGCCCTCGAAAGTGGCGACAGTTTCACAGATCGCAGCCCCCCAGGGATGGAGAGGTCCCATTTGAATCCGCCGCGGGTGCACACTGCGCTGGGCCCCCCAGCAGCCCTCGAAAGTGGCGACAGTTTCACAGATCGCAGCCCCCCAACGATGGCGAGGTCCCATTTGAATCCGCCGCGGGTGCCCACCGTGCTGGGCCCCCCAGCAGCCCTCGAAAGTGGCGACAGTTTCACAGATCGCAGCCCCCATCAGCCCTCGAAACGCAGCGACGAGCCAGGTAAAAGGCAGGGGGAAGAGAGGGGCGGGATTCGCGCGAGCAGTGCTCTATTCAAAACGTGAACCCAACGCAGGAGGGTTGGGAAATATATACACATATGGACCCCCCCGCAGGGGTCTACCTCATTATGCCTCTTCTTATAGAAAACTTTCGACATTCAAAGGATTCGAAAAGGAACCGCCGACTCCATCCCGCTTCTCCGTTATCCCTCTTTCTCTGTTTCGTCTCTCTCTCTCTCTCTCTCTCTCTTTTTTTCCTCCCCCTCCGCCTCCTCCTCCTCCGCCTCCTCCTCCTCATCCTCCTCATCAAAGGGGGGGAAACCAAAAAGAGAGCGCACCCATTCGGCCAAGGTCTGGCCCACGGGCGAATTTGAAAACTCCCATCTACCAGCGCCGCTTTGGCGGCAGGGGCCGCGAACAAACTGGCAGGGGCGGCTGCAAGCGGCGCGGTCGCAAGGGGCCCAGAATGAAAAATATGGCGGGGCGGGGCGATCAGGGCGCGGCATGCCCCGCCTGCAACTGCAAAGCTGATGTAGGAAGCGTCGGCTTTTAGCGCGTTTTGGCTTGCGCGCCTCAATGCCGCGAGAGACAGGCTCCGTCTTGGAGCGCCCCCGCCGGCGGCCCAATGCCAGGCCCACGGGGCACGTTGCCCAGCGTTCTCGCCTGGCACGGCGGATAGAACGGAGGAGGCTAGCACGGATAGGCGCCAGCGGTGAGCAGCTAGTCGCGACTGGAGATTTCCCCGGGCATGGGCCCCAGGAAACAAGGCCACAAGAGCGGGATGAGCCCGACGGAAGGACGTGACGCGTTGAGGGGCCGAGCGCGCACTGGCGCTGGCCACCCCGGCGGGTTGGTGCGACCGAGCTGGGCCGCCGGAGATTTGCTCGTCTGCGTCGTCGTCGCGCGCGGCGCCCGTTGTGTCGCTTGTCTCGCTCAATGATGCGAGGCAGCTGGTGCTGGATCCCGTCGTGCTCATCACCGCGGCACTAGACTGCGTCGCGATGCTCAGCGCCGAAATGATGGCCCCAGATGCGCTGCTCACAATTGGTGGTGCACGTTGCACTGCTCGTTTCGCTCGTAGATGCGGGGCTGCCGGCGGCGGATCCCGTCGCGCTGCTCAGCGCCATGGCGCCAGACGCCGTCGCGCTGCTCAGCGTCGTGGCGCTGGTCCCGAACGCGATGCTCTTAGATTCAAGACACGGCGATCGTTGCGCTGCTCGTCTCGCATGTAGATGCGAGGCCGACGGCAGTGGATCCCGTCGCGCTGCTCGACGTCGCGGTGCCCGGCTCCGTCGCGCTACACAGCCTCGAGGCGCTGGTCTCGGACGTGCTGCTCCAGGGCGCGGTGCTCTTTTCACTGCTCGTCTCACTCGCAGCGCTGAGGCTGCCGGTGCTGGATCCCGTCGCGCGGCCGACCGTCGAGGTGCTCGACGCCGTCGCGCTCCTCAGCGCGGCGGCGCCAGCGCTGGGCGCGCGGCTCAAAGACGTGGCGTTTGTTTCGCTGCCTGTCTTGCTCGCAGCTGCGGGCTGCTGGCGCTGGGCCCCGCCGCGCCACTCAATGACGGAGCGCTCGACGCCGTCGCGCTGCTCAGGTTCGAGGGGCTGGCCCCGGACGCGCCGTTCGAAGACGCGGTGCTCGTTGCGCAGATTGTCTCACTCGTAGATGGGCGACCGCTGGCGCTGGGCCCCGTCAAGCACATCAGCGACGCGGTGATCTACTCCATCGCGCTGCTGGTTGACGAAGCGCTGGCCCCGGCCGCGCTGCCCAAAGACGCGGCGCTCGCGGCGCCATCCGCCCCGCGCGCGTATACGAGGCTGCTGGTGCTGGATCCCGTCGCGCTGCTCAACGCAGCGGCGCTCGACGCCGTCGCGATGCTCGATCTCGAGGTGCCGACCCTGGACGCGCTGCTCAAGGACGCGGCGCTCGCTGCACTGCTCGTCTCGCTCGCGGCTGCGAGGCTGCCGTCGCTGGATCTCGCGGCGCTGCTCAGCGCCGCGGCGTTCGACTCCGCTGCGCTGCTCAACGTCGGGGCGCCGGTCCCGGGCGCGCTGCTCAAGGGCGCGGCGTTCGGTGCACTGCTCGTCTCGCTCGCGGACGTGGGGCCGCGGGCGCTGGATCCCGTCGCGCCGCCCATCGTCGCGGCGCTCGATTCTGTCGCGCTGCCCAAGTGGAAATGCCAGCCCCAGACGCGCTGCTCGAAGTCGCGACATTCGCTGAAATTCTCGTCTCTCTCGCGCGTCTGATCTCACTAGCGGTGGATCCCGTGGCGCCGCTCAACGTCGCGGCGATCGGCTCCGTCGCGCTGCTGAATGACGATGCGCTGGCCCCAACCGCGCTGCTCGAAGACGTGGCACTCGTCGCGCTGCAAGTCTCATTCATAGATGCGAGGTTGCTGGCGGTGCTGGGTCCCGTCGCGCTGGCTCTCGACTCCGTCGCGCTGCTCGCGCTCGATTCGCTTGCCCCAGACGTGGATCTCGAAAACGCGGTGCTCGACGCGCTGCTCGTCTCGCCTGTGGACGCGGGGCTGCCGGTAGAGGAGCCCGCCGCGCTGCCCAGCGTCGCGGTTCTCGGCTCTGCAGCGCTGCTCAGCGTGGGCGCGCCGGTCCTGGGCGCGCTCCTCAAATGCGTGATGCCTCGCTGCAATGCTCGTTTCACTCGTTGATGTGAGGCCGCTAGCGCCGGGCACCGCCGCGCTCCGCAACGTCGCGACGCTCGACTCGGGTTCGAGGCGCCAGCCCCGGTCACGCTGCTCAAAGACAGGTGCTCGTTGCAGCGCCCGCCCCGCTCGTGGATGTGGGCCTGCAGCTAGCGGGCCCCGCGGCGCTGCTCAACGTCTTGGACCTCGACCGCGTCGCGCAGCTCAGCGTGGACGTGCCGGCCCCAGACGCGGCGCGCAAAGACGCGGTGCTCATTTCACTTCTATTCTCGCTCGCAGGTGCGAGACTGCCGGCGCTGGATCCCGTCGCGCTGCTATGCGTCGCGGCTCTCGACTCCGACGCGTTGCGCAGGTGCTGGCCCCAGGCGCGCTGCTCGGAGACGTGGCGCTCGTTGCGCCGCTGGCGGAGCTGCCCGCGGAGCGCCCCCCCGGGGGTGGCCCTGCTGACGCGCGGCGCGGCACGGCCCGCGGTGCGACCCCTGGGCTCGCGGTGGGCAGGGCCCCCCCCCCCCGGCGCGAGGCGCTCGAGAGGTGCCCCGCGTGGCGGCTCCCAGGGCGACTCGTCGAGAGCCCCGCGATGCGCCCCGTGGAGTGGCGCGGCCTCGCGGGCCGGCGCCCAGGGTGGCCCGCGGCGCGGCGCGCGGCATGGCTCGCGGGGCGCCTGATTGGGCTGGCCAGCGACATATTAAGGCCAGACGCCGCGGTCAGAAGACCGGGCGGGCCCGGCGGCCCATCTGGGGGTCACCGTCGGCAGCTGCAGACTCTCAGCGGCGCGAGCCTAGCGACCCCAGTGCCCTGAGGGCTCGCGCGGCAGTGGCCGCCGTGACCCGGTGGCCCCCGCGGCCCGATGGCCCGCGCGGCTCGCGCGGCTGGGCGCCGCTGGCGCGCTTCCACTTCGCAGGGCCGGGCGAGGCCCCGGCGCTCGAGGGCCGGCGCGACCGTCGCGGCACTGCTCGGCTCCTTCAACGGCGCCCGCGCGCGTCGCGCGGCAGTGGCGCGGGGCGGCCTTGTGACCGCCGGGGCGCTGGGCAGCGGCGTCTATCGCAGTAGAGTGCCCCGTGGAGTGCCTCGTGGAGTGCCCCGCGGAATAGCTCCGTGGAGTGGCCCATGGAGTGCTCCGTGGAGTAGCCCCTGGGCGGGCGGGTGGCTCTCGCGGCCTGGCGGCAGTCCCCGCGGCCCAGTGGCCCCCGCGGCCCGGCGGCTCACGCGCGCCGGTGGTTCCCGCGGCCGGGTGGCTCGCCTGGCTCGCGCGGCTGGGCGAATGGCCGCAGGGGCCCGCGCGGGGTCCGAAGGGGCCGCGGGGCTCGCAGCGTCGATTGCCGACGCTGCGCACGGCGCGTCGCAGCGCGACGTCGGGCGGCACGCGCCTTCAGAGTCGCACGGCCCGACGCCGCGCCCGCGAGCCCTGGCGGGCTGCATGGCCGCGCCGGCGCCCGCGCCAGCGGGGCGCAGGCGCCGCGGCAGAGGAAGGCACGGGCGCTGAGGCGATCGCGAAGGCAAGGGGGACAAGGCGCGCGCTCGCCCTGATGATGGAGGCAAGCCTACTGCGAAGGGCGCCGCTGGTGCGGCGCGCTGGAGCGGGGCCCCGCGAAGCGCAGTCCAATTGGTCGAATGAAATACACGAGCCGAGACAAGCCGAGGCCGTCGAACATCCGACGACGGCAGGAACGTTAACATTGTGTTGCAGAACGCTCAGCGTCATGAGCAATCGCGGCGCCCGTGGCGCAGCCGCGCAGCGCGGGCGCGGCCCGCGCGGAAATCCCCGCCGCAGGTCGGTGGTTTCTCGGCGCCAACCTCCGACGCCTGGACCTCGTCGGTCGGGAGCTCGCGGGGCGCCGTGCCAATGGTCTCCTAAGGGGCCTCCTCGTCGCCGCGCTCCAGGATGCCAGGCAACGGCGAGCCGATCGCGGACCGGGGTCTGCATCGGCGTTGTAGCTCGAGGGCGCCAGGGCGGAGCTTGCGAAGCCGCCCGCGCTGCTGCGGGCCAAGCGCGAGGGCGTGCGCGAACCCTGTCGGCGCTACGGCCGCCAGTGCGAAGGCTAGCGTCGGCGGCGCAAGCGCGGGAGCTGGCGCGGGCATCCGCGCGTGCGCTGGCGGGCCTGGCGGCCCAGCCATGGGCCCCGAGATCGACGGGGCTGGCGTCGCCGTTGGCCATGAAGCCGACGCGGGTGCAACATGGCCCCCGCGCCCCCCCGCCCGCGCGGCCTCCTCGGGGGGCTTCGGCCACCCGGGCGAGAGAGCAGTCAAGCTCGACGCGAGCAGGTGGGCAGCGCTGCCGCTGGTCAGCAGGGCCGCCCCGCGCTGGGTCCGATCCCCCGCGCGCTTGATTTCCGCGCCGCGGCGTCCGTCGATGGGGTTGCGAGCCCGGCTGGCGGCCGTCACCTCGGTGACCCCATGGATGGGCGGAGGCGCGGGTGAAGGGGCGAGGCCCGCGACGTCGGGCAGCGCGTCGGCCCTGGCAGGCCGCGCGCTGGCCCCCGCGAGCCTAGGTTCGGCCCTGAAGGCGGCCGACCACGCCGCCGAGCTTCCCGGCGCGCGCCCGCCGCCGCTTCACAAGGGCCCCGCTTGTCAGCCGATGCATCAAATCGCATGGGCGCTGTCGTGGAAACTGGCGTCGACATTGTGGGCGGCAGTGCTAAATCTGCATTAGCTGCGCCGTGGTCGCGCTGTGGCTACCTCCACCCCATGCATGGGAAGTCTGGCGGGTGCGCCCGTGGACGTTGGCGTTGGCTGGACACGCATTCTGGGCGCCGGCGTAATGGCGGGCACTCCCGCGGTGGCTACTGCTGGGAAGATAACGACGAAGTCCCAAGGGTCCTCGGTGGCGAGCGGGGCCGCGACATCGCCAGACGAGGCCTCGCAGAAGCTGTCAAGAGCAACGCCGCGTGCGGGGGCGGTGCCGACGTCGTAGACGGAGTGGAGGTCGCACGTGTGCTCGTCGTACTCGGCGTCGCGTGCCGGGAGGGCCTGCGTGTGACAGGCCCCCACCGCGTCTTCGACGTGGGCAACCTGCGTCCGACCTTGATCATGGAGAGTATAGTCCACGGTGGAGGGAGGCCTTCCGCGAAAATCCAAACGCACATATCCCTCGCTGTCGTGCCGTCTGCCCGTATGCGGCCCAGGCTTGCCAAGTCCAGTGGCCGCTGAACACGTCCTGGGCGACTGGGCGAGCTCCTCGTAGATGCCCATGAACATCTCACAGTCGGCATGGGCACAAGGGGGGCATTCGATGGGGTAACAAATTCTCCCTGGTACCGGTACCGCGTAGATATTGATGTGGCGACAGAAGACATGATATTGGTGTTACTGGCATGTGAGGCTCCAGCATCGGCTCGGATGGGCACCAGGGAGATGGGCACATCGCTGTTAGAATCACCAAAACAAGTGAAGGGGGCAGTGTTGGTGCCCTGGTGGCTGTTGGCTGGGGGCGTGGACCCTGGTGGGTCACGGCTGGGGCCTCCGCCTTGGCCGCCGCCCCTGCTTGGGAAGGGTTCGGGTGAGTAGCAACGCAGGCCTTCTGTTGCGCGAGAGGGCCCTGGTGATGGGAGGCCTGGCGGCCCTTGCCTGGTGGTTTGGGCTGCAGTGGTGCGTATCGCACACGGCGAAGGCCCTGGGAGCCATGGCGGCGCGCGTGGGAATACGGACCATGTTTTGCAATCGTTTGACCCTACCACGTCCGAGTTGGCACATAATTCCGTGGATGTGGCCCGGCGTGGGCGCTGTAGATTTCGCCGTCCAACGGAACACAAGGGTTAAGATAGATTGTCCCGGGTAGTCTGTGTTGACGGGTCCCAGGACGGCTAAGGCGAGGGGCTCCATCCTGCTGACGGATCTGCTGTGTGAGTCGGCTCCTCTCTTCTAGCGTGTGCACTGACATGCAACTGGTGTAGGATGTGCCGTTCTGGGCCCTGGTGGGCACCAGGGCAACGGGAAATCCAAGTTCTGTGTATCAGGGCTGGTGCGCGGGGCGGTGTCGATGGCCTGGTGGGCATCGGCCGAGGCCGTGGAGCCTGGCGACTCCCGGCTGAAGACCGTGGTGTGCGTGTGGGCGAAATGCAGCATAGGTGTAGCCTATCTTGAACTCTTTGCACCGTTTCACCAGCTCTCCCCTAAGCAGGGGCTGGTTGGATCGGTGCTACTGGCACGCGACATCGAGGTCGGATGGGATTTGTTTTGAGCAAGCTCGTCGTAGGATGCAGCAGCCCAGTGTGCGTCACCATCGTGGAGAGCAGCGGCGCAGGCCTCCCGTCGCACAGTAAGGCTCTCGCGACGGGAGGCTTGGTCCAAGCCTCCCATCTCGAGACCCTCGTTGTGCCGCCAAGGCCGCCAGATGGCGGCCCTGGCGTTCATGAGCCTCTGCAGCCCACGGCATCAAACAAGTGCCGCCAATGGCGGCCCTTGCCTGATAGCATGGGCTACAGTGGTTCATGGCGCACGCTACAAGAGCCCGCGGGAGTCATGGCGGCGCGCGAGAGGATATGAAGTTGACGCGAGGCGAGATGTCACGCCCTCACTGGGGTGCGTCCAGTCTCGCCATGCGAGGGGCTTCGCGTCGTGGGCTTCGCGTCGTGGCTGCACACTGAGCCAGTGAGCTCTGAGTTGCGACAACAGAGAGAGAGAGAGAGAGAACAAAAAAAAAAAGAGACAAACAACAAAGAGAGAGAGAGAGAAGGAGAGGGGGGAGAGAGAGAGAGAGAGAGAGCGGAAACCCGCATGCCAGGAAGCCTCCCCCCCCACCCACGCGACCTGCGCCGGCGCGGGCGGCGCGCCCCGCCCCCCAGGCGACAGCGGGCGCGGGCAAGGGGCACATCTCTTCCCGAGGCGGCGCCTACGGGGAAACGATCGAGAAGGGGGGAAGTTTGGGTGACCCAAAAGGGGGTCCAGCTGAAAGGGGCTGGTGCAGTAGATTTGGGGCAATTGTATTGTACATGTACTGCGCTGGTGAATTGTACTGCATTGTATAGCAAGTAATCCATTGCACGCAAAAACACAGCAATACATTTGCGTCCCGACATGTATTGTACGCCCCAAACGTATTGCAACCCCACAAATGTGTTGCACTAAATCTATTGCACCACCACCTTGTCGCTGGACCCCCGTTTGGGTCAACCCGAAGAAGGTAACATCGAGCGCCGGTGATAGACACATCGCATATAGATCGGCGATAAGAGCCTCGTAGCGAAACCGAGCGTTCCTGGGCAGAGTGGGCTATCGGGCCTCTATCACTTATATAACACCCCGCAAATGCGGATAAGAGTGAGGGGGCGGTGGGGAAGTCGGCAGTTTGCGAGACTCTGGAGAAGCCAACCGCAGACGCCAAAGTTTCACAAATTATACAAAGAGCCCGCCGCAGGCGGTGATTCTTTCGTTGAACCAATGTGGGTAGGTCGCGGGTGGGTCGCGGGTGGGTCGCGGGGTGGATCGCGGGTGGGTCGCGGGTGGGTCTTGGGTGGGTCGCTCTTGGGTCGCGGGTGTGTCGCGGGTGTAGAGGGCAGAACATCCCCCCCATAATAATCACCCCGGCAAGCGAAGCCGTTCAGCAAACGCAAACAAGGAATGAATCGAACAGGGCAGGGCTGTTTAGTCAACGCCCAGGGCCGTTTTAATAAAAGTCAGTTGTCTGGTCTGGGTGGTTTTTCCTCCCTTGAGGGTGGGTCGCGGGTGGGTCGCGGGGTGGGTCGCGGGTGGGTTGCCAATAGGTCGCGGATGGGTCGCGGGGTGGGTCGCGGGTGGGTCGCGGGTGGGTCGCAGGGTCGCGGGTTGGTCGCGGGGTTGGTCGCAGGGTGGGTCGCGGGATGGGTCGCGGGTGGGTCGCTTGTAGAACGACGACAAACAACAACAACAACAACAACAACAACAACAACAACAACAACAACAACAACAACAACAACAACAACAACAACGGCAACAACAGCAGCAGCAGCAGTAACAACAACAATAACCACGACAACGACAACGACAACGACAACGACAACGACAACGACAACAACAACGACAACGACATCGACAACGACAACGGCATCGACAACAACAACGACAACACCAACGACACAACAAGCAGAATTCCCGCCACGAGTTCCTTATTCAGCCACGCGCCCAAGGACAACGAATGACCGTTCGGCCCCCTCACTCTGATGATATCTGGCACGCGCTGACGTGGATCAAAGATCCGTGGATCTGGCGCGTTGGCGCCAGATCCATGGATCGGGGAAGGCAGCCCCCAGAACATGCGGCAAGCGCCGCTTGATTGGGCGACGGCGCGCGCCGATTCTGCATGGCAACGGCGCCCGTGGCAAATCCACTCGCCTGAGGCGCGCTCGGCGCCTCACGCAGACATCCAGCGTCTTGGGGCCATCACGGCGGAGGTTTTCCGACAGCTTTCGGCCTCCGGGGGCCCTCGCCGGGCCACGGGGCAGTCAGGAAACGGCTCAGGATGACACGCCGGCCGTGGTGAGAGGCTTGGTACTTCTGGAGGGCCTCGTCTTGGAAAAATCAGGGCATCGGATCTCTGGGTAGGGCCCCCCTTGGGAGGCCGCCGGAACGATGTCCCAGCCGGCGGGGTCGGAGTAAGGATGGCGCCACGTCGCCGATGCCATCAGCGCGGCGATGCGCCAGGGACGTTTGGGATGGAGAGAATCGGGCTCCAGATCGAGCCGCATCGCCGATACTTCGGGAATGCGGCGAGAGTTTCCGACCCCATCCACTGGGACCTTATTTGGCCGGGCAGGCAGAAGAGGTGGGGCCAGGAAGAGGGGGCTTGTACACGATAGCCCGAGTCATGTGCGCGGACGAAGGGGGGGGACATGTTGTCATACTTGAATGAAGCAGGGTGGGCCGCGAAATCTGCGAGATGTCACTCAGGCGCACGCTCTCGTGGAGTTCAGATCCGCGGATCTGGCGGGTGGGCGCCAGATCCGCGGATGGGGGCGAAACATGAAGCCACCGCCGCCTACTTTGGCAACGGCGCCTGCCGATTTTCGACGGAGGCGGGGCCCGTCGTTGAGCCATGCGCGCTCAACCATACTCTGGGTTTCTTAATAAGCGTGGGGGGGTTCCCCCCCGACGGGGGTCAACCTCGCCTCGTCGTCGCGCCGCGACGGGGGTCGGAGCGCCTTCGGCGCGCTGTGGCTGCCCGCGACGGGGGTCGATGTGGGGCTGTCGGCGGGGTTGACGCCCCCCCGGCGCTTATCAAGAAACTCGGAGTATCTGCGTCTCCCCTGTGAAGCCCCGATGTCCACACACCCCTGGCCATGTCCACCCTCTTGGACACCCCTGACCTTGGCGTCCGGTCGGGCGTGCCCCCCTACAGGCGGATCTTGGACGAAAAATAACCATTAGTCAAAACATGCTCGGAGGTCCGAACAAAAACCCACACAACAAAAAATCCCCAGAGCAGTTTTAGACGACGTTGAGGAGGAGGAGGAGGAGGAGGAGGAGGAGGAGGAGGAGGAGGAGGAGGAGTTTGAACACTCCTCCTGTAGGGGCACACGCCCGACTCCACCTTGGCGGCCTTGGCCCCCGCCCCACCCGGCGCGCTGGGCCCACGGCTGGCGCCGGAGTCCATCGGCGCCGCGGTGAGGGCCTCGGACGCCGTCGCCTCCCAGGGGGGCGGGGCCAGGCCCGAAGGCGGCGCGGAGGAGAGCAAAGGACGGAAGCTCGTCGAACCATGGCCTCGCGCTTCCGCCCCACCCCTGCGGTGATGGGCCTGCTGTCCACCACCACCACCAGAAGTGGGAGGGGGAGGGGGCTGCCCTCCTCCCCCTTCCCTGCCTCCTCCTCCTCCTCCTCCACCTCCTTCCCCCCATCCAGCTTATGGTGGTGGTGGTGGAAGACGGGCCCATCATGAGACTGCGAAAGGGGGGGATAGCAAAGGGGGGGGTGAGAATCAGCTCACGTAGCTGATTTTCACGGCGCCTCCCGGCGCCAGAGGCGGCTATGGATATCGAGGAATGGGCCCGGCGGCGAGGCCGAGACCAGCTGCATGCAGCAGATTTCGTACCCCCCCTTTCCTATCCCCCCATTTCGTTCGGCCTGAAACAATCTTAGAGGGTGCGCCCCCAGAAGCCGAGGGCATCTCTAAGATCGGCACCGAGAGAAGGTGGTGCCCCAATCCCATTATGTTCACCAACCATGTTACTCGGCACCCAGAGGCCGACCTCGAGCTCCAGGACAGCCAACGGAAGGAGCAAGGGTGAGGAGCCGGCCATGGTTAGGTCGAGCATGTCCTCCTACAGGTGGATTTTGGACGAAAAATAAAACATAGTCAAAACAACATCCCAAACATTCAAGAACATTCCAAAAATCGTCCCCAGACTATTTTTGACTTTTTGTGAATGTTCCTCCTGTGGAGGGACTCGCCCGACTTAAGGCCATGGGGAACGGGCCGAGACGTCCAGGCCCAGGCATCTGACGGCGTGGCTCCCCTGAGGTCTGGACCTCTTCCTGGGGGCCGACTCTTCGCCGTGAGCTGCTCTCTGACAGTCCCGGGGCCGTGCGAGGGCCCCGGAAGCCGAACGCTGCCGAAAGCTTCCCTCGTGATTCCTGCGCGACGCGAGGGTGTCGGGGAAGCCACGCCCTGGAACAGAATCGCGCGTCGCTCGTTGACAGCCCCGGGGCCGTGCGAGGGCCCCGGATCCGGAAGCCGAGAACATGCGAAGAGTTGCCTTCGTGAATTGCCTTCACGACGCGGGGGCGTCAGGGGAAGCCACGCCCTGGAGCAACCGGAGAACGCCGGAGGCCTGGAGGGCGTGCCGCAGCAAGGGCCGGCTGGGCGGCGGCACGCCGATCATGGGCAAATGCCATTGGCTGGTCACAAAGGGGGGGTCGCCACCTCATCGAGAAAACTCGGCCTGCTCCTCACTGGGCCCCTCCTCCTCCTCCTCCTCCTCCTCCAAACTTTCGCAGGCCCGCTGAACACCCCACGAGGCGGGCAAGTCTGGGCCTTCCTCCGCCGAGAGGCGGGAGGACGCGGCCTCCAACAGGCCCGCCGCCCTTGGCTCGCGAGGCCGGGTGAGCTGGCAAGCTCAGTCCACATCGAATCGTTCAATCGGATCGGATCAAACCCAGAAGCATCAAGACGCCGGCTGCCAGGGACTGTGCATCGCATGGGGCTGCAGCGGCACGGCATCGAAGGATCGGCGGAGCCAGGAGGCACCACAGCGCCACGCAGGGATCGGGCCGCACCGGATCGTTAGATCAAGCTCGAAGCGGATCGGGCCGGCCGGGATAGATACGAGGGCCAAAGGCTACGCGCACTCCTCGGGCGCCAGCTGCCCAGCGCTCGGGCAGGCGGAGGGCAGCGGTGCGGGCGGGGCCGCCCGGCGGGCGCCGCGGCGTCCCCGCCGCGGCGCCCCCTTCGTGGGCCCCACAAACTGCTACAACCTCTTAAACCATGAAGCTCTTGCCACGTGGCCTCCCACGCGTTGGTGGTGGACCCGTGGGGCGCCGCAGTGGACGCCGCCTGAACGCAGTACACCAACGGGGCTCGGCGAGCGCTAACGCTCGCCGTGTCCTCGGACATCTGTGGCTAGAGAAACAGGAAATGAGATGCACTAGTTCGGTGCCGTCCGGCCGGCCTGGACACGATGGCATTGAGATTCAGAAGGAGGAGGAGGAGGAGGAGGAGGAGGAGGAGGAGGAGAAGGAGGAGGAGGAGGAGGAGAAGGCCAGGAAACAAAGGGAAATCGCTACAAGCAGACACAACCATGCAGGAGGCGAGGGGAGGCAGCAAAGCAAAAGCAGCAGGAGGCAAGCGCGCACGACGGGGGCGGGGCGGGCGGGGGGCGAAAGGAACGAGGGTCGTCGTGGGGTTCAACGCGGGTCGTCGCGGGGGTTCGTCCTCCTCCTCCTCCTCCTCCTCCTCCTCCTCCTCCTCCTCCTCGTCCTCGTCCTCCTCCTCCTCCTCCTCCTCCTCCCTCCCTCCCTCCCTCCCTCCCTCCCTCCCTCCCTCCCCCCTCATGGCGCGGGAGGCCCAGGAGAGGCGGGAGGGCCCCTCCGGAGCGTCGGAGCTGGGGTCCTACTCGGGAGCCCCAGGGCCGCAAGGGGAAGGAGCTGCGCGGAGGGGGCGCGTGGACCGCCTCCTGGGGGCAGCCTGCCGCTGCTCCTCCCTCTGCCACATCCTCCCTCCCAGGGCAGACACAGGAGGAAGAAGGGAGGAGGGGGGGGTGCATCTGGGATGGACAGAACCCCCTTAGCAAAACGTGGTGTAGGGAAAACGACCTCGGGCCCAAACCTGGCAGGCGCAAGCCTGGAAAATGACGGCTGCGGCGCCCTCTCGAGAACCGACAACTGACAATTCACTTATCGACGTGTCAGGGTGGGGGTTCTGTCCACCCCCGAGTGCAGGAAGGGGCGGGAGGAGGAAGAGTGAAAAAAGTGGAGGAGCAATAAGGAGTAGCAGGAGCAACCAGAAGCAGCAGGAATCACTGCGTATCCGTGCCAGGGGCGACACTGTTTGGACGTGTGCGCGTGGACAGTGAGAGCGCAGGAGGAGGAACATAGAGATGAGCAGAAGGTGGAAAAATGGGAGAGCCATCCTAAAGCGAATCGGATGGAGCGGGGAGTGCAAACACCACCGCTTCGGCCTCGTGGTGGTGGGCACCCCGCTATCCCTCCAAACGTTTCGAAACGCACTCTCGGCCCAACCTCTTGACGGGTGCGGCCTTCTGGCGATTTCCCTGGGTATACGGCCCCCGGTGGCCCAACTAAAAGGCGACCAAAAACTCAACACAAACCTCGACCCTCTATCCTCCTACTCCTCGATCCCCTCCGATCCTCCCGCCCGCCCTTCCTCCTCCTGCTCTTCCACTTCCTCCTCGGGGCCAAAGCTGGACCCGTGGAGGCCTCGCGGTGGAGGAAGACACGCGGCTGAGCTCCCGAGGGCGCGGCCAAGGTCGCCGTGTTCGTCCCTCCTACCTCCTCCAGGTGACCTCCAGGTCTATAGAGGGGCCCAGGGACACACAGATAAATACACAAAAGTCCCAGGATTCCCAAGATGTTTCCATACTTTCTGGGTTTTCGTCTTCCCCCCCACTTCCAATTTTTTCAAACAGTTTCCTGGGATTCGACGATTACTGTGTCTTTGTTTCCCCCTCCTGAGTCTAGAAGCACCCCCCGCCCCCCAGACGAGCTTTCGCGTGTCACGGTGGCTGCCCCGGCGACTCCCTGCAAGCAGATAGCATGTCGAACCGCTTCGCGGGATGGGAGGCCAGGGAGGGCTTGGGACGTTGACGCCTGGAACTTGGCAAAATGCTTCGCGTTTGGCGCCGAAACGTGGCGGGCCAGAACAGGCGGCGCGACATGCCAAGCAAAACCTCCAAACCGCAAACCTTGGCAAGCCCGACGCAAAGGGCAGGGGCCCCAGCCAGCCCCGACCAAGCCAAGACCTACGCCAGCTTGCTTTGGATCCGGCCGGCTTTCGACCACGGACGTACCAGTGCCGATGCTGATTTCGGCTTCCCAGGCGGCAGCTCAGCCTCCCCCCTCCTCGTCTCCTCCGCAACTCTGAGATCAGTGGAGAGGCCGTGTCCCGACACGGATCCAGGAAAAGAAGGGGAAGAGCACCCTACCCAGGTCACACCGCCAGCCATCAGGCGCCACCAGGATGGTAGAGGGTTCCTCCTCCTCCTCCTCCTCCCCCTCCTCCTCCTCCTCTTCTTCTCCTTAGTCTTCTTCTTCTTAGCATTCTTGCTCTTCCAACTCCTCCTCCTCCTCCTCCTCCTCCTGCTGCTCCTCCTCCTCCTCCTCCTCCTCCTCCTCCTCCTCCTCATCTCCATCTGCCCTGCCGCTATCGCCTCCAGCCCCTTCAGCGGGCCAGGACCGCAGGTCGCAGCTCTCTAAGCGAGGCCGCCCCCGCCCTCGCCACGGCCGGCCCCCTCCTCCTCCTCCTCCTCCTCATCTCCATCTCGCTTGCCGCTATCGCCTCCAGCCCCAAGAGGCCCCAAGAAGCTCTCCGAGGCACCCAAGACGCTCTAAGAGGCGTCCGGGACCGCCAAGAGGCCCCCCAAACGCTCCAAGGGGCCTCCACTAGGGAAACCTTCCTCTGTGTGCTGCCCACTTCGCTGATCGAGGCAATTCCTCTGAGCATCGTTTCTTGATGGGCTGGTGGGGTTACGCGAAGCGTCTAGAATTAGAGCTCCCTATGGGGCCACGAAGCGTGTGACGGGTGTGCCGGCGGCGCCGCCATACGGACGCCCTCACTGGCGCTTCAGCAGGAGTTCCCTAGAAGAGTTTGTTTTCCTCTGGCGGGTAACGCTTGTTACCCGGGCCCCATACCCCCCCTCCACCCCCCCCCACACCCGCACACCCGGGTAACGCTAAAGATCATACGTTTTTGGGGGGGTCGAGGGCGGACCCCCTCCTCTCAGCAGGTATGGCGCTGTGCTCACAGGCATGGTGTGGTGCTGAAAGGCATGTGTGGTGCTCACAAACGTGTTGTGGCGTTCGCAGGCTCCCACCTGTTGCGGCGCCGAATTCACAGGCATGGCGCGGTGCTAAAAGGCATGGTTCGGTACTCACCTGCCTATTGTGGCGCCTGCAGGCTATTGCAATGCGCACGCTAGTGCGGTTTACGTTTACATCCCTATGTTATCTTACCCT